TGAGTGGTCCTTAAAGAGCCTCAAAATTATTGTTCAAATATTCGTTTTCCCCGAACGCTTTATGCTTTAAGTAAGACTTTAATCTGATTCCGAACGCCAAGCTATTTAGCTCCTTAGTTTTCTGTGACAGAATATTAAAAAATTGCATGCCATAGTGGTTCTGCCCGTCTCGTACCCTCTATTCTGGAGTAAGACACAATTAATCGGATTCATCCTCTAGTATTATACTCGTTGCTCATTCCTTTACATCACAAAATTTGTTTTAATGTGCATTAAGCAAGCAGGAAGGTATATACAGGGTGTCATTGAAATGGTGTAAAAAATCGGGGGGTGATAGTACTCCTAAAAATAGTAAAAAAGTTCCTATAAGTATAGGGCGGAAAATGCATATTAAGGGAGCTAGGGGCACTGAAAGGGTGAATTTAAAATACGGTTGTTTTGAAATTGTAGGCTTAAAAAACGAGATAAAATTTTGAAAAAAAATCCTCTGCTATAAATTTTGACCCTAAATCAAATGGCGATACTGAAAAATTATTTGGAAAAGCGGAAAGGGTAGATTTTGCAAGGGTAGGGGGTTGTTTCGCGAATAACTTTTTTGAAGTTTTTTTTTACAACGTGGGTTCATTTTTTGAAAACTACATACTTTTTTCTACAAAAAAGGTACTCTTGTTGCACATCACCCAGAGTAATGATTTTCGAGAAAATTGAAGGCAAAGAGTTTGCTCTGATGGGTTGCTAACTGGTTTATCAACATAAACTTATGAAAGTTATGGCGGTTCAAAAGTAACCAATTAGCTATCAAATAATTAATTGAAAAATCAAAATTTCATTATTTTTAAAACATCTTATTGCTTTAAAAAACGAAATAACAAAGCTATGGTTTACTCAGTACCGATTAATACTGAAGAGCAACTACGGCAACGCATTATTGACTGTTCCAATCAAATTCGGACAACACCAAGGATATTCCACAGGGTACGCAGAAGAAGAGCAGATGTCTGCATTGAAATGAATGGTGGTCACTTTGAACATTTACTATGAATGAATTAAGGAATGCGTTATTTTAATAAGGAATTTTGGTAATTGGTTTATTTCGTTTTTAAAGCAAAACGATGTTTTAAAAATCATGAAATTTTGATATTCCAATTAATTATTTAACAAACTACTTGGTTACTTTTGAACCGCCATAACTTTCATAAATTTATGTTGATTAACCAGTTAGCAACCTATCAGAGCAAACTCTTTGCCTTCAATTTTCTCGAAAACCATCACACTAAGCGATGTGCAACAAGAGTACCTTTTTTGTAGGAAAGAGTATGTAGTTTTCAAAAAATGAACCCACGTTGCAAAAAAAATAACCTCAAAAAAGTTATTCACGAAACAACCCCTTACCCTTGCAAAAACTATCCTTTCCGCTTTTCCAAATAATTTTTCAGTATCACCATTTGATTTAGGGTAAAAATTTATGGCAGAGGATTTTTTTTCAAAATTTTATCTCGTTTTTTAAGCCTACAATTTATAAAAAAAAACGTTTTTTAAAGTCACCCTTTCAGTGCCCCTAACTCCCTTAATATGCATTTTCCGCCCTATACTTATAGGAACTTTTTTACTATTTTTAGGAGTACTATCACCCCCCGATATTTTTTTACACCATTTCAATGACACCCTGTATACGGTACCGTGAGAATACCCATAGATTGAAACGCTGTTCTACAACATTCAGAGTATTTTAAATTGACCTTTGTGCTGCAAATACTTTTGTTGCATGGACAGAATGTCCCCAATACAGAACAGCGGAACTCAAGTGCGAATGAACAAGGCAAAAATAGGCGCTCTTGACTACCTGCTGCGACACAATGTTTTTTTAGGTTTCTTATTGCATATAAGTCTTTATTAACTTTCTTATTGAGTTCTATTGCGTGAGTTTTCCAGGTCAGCGTTAATATAATAACACCTAAGAATTTATAATAGGCACTATTTTTTCCACTGTTGGTTTTAGCGTACAAATGAATGATTGTGTTTTTGGTTATTAACCAATAGTTTTTTATTATTAAACCATTCAGTGAAAAAGTTCTGAGTACCCAACAAATTTCTTACAGTGTGTAAAAGCCTCCATTACTATAACAAGTCAAGAGTATCACCATCATGGGTCAGTGAGCGATCCCTTCCTAATAAATACAGGTATTGGGCAAGGAGGCGTCTTCTATTCAACATATTCACGGCAGCGCTCTCCATTGTAGTGGACAGCAAACTACAGGAAAGAGGATTGGCCATTAGATACAGATACGACGGCGGTCTGTTCAACACAAAAAGGCTCAGGGCAAAAACACGTACAAAGTTCATCACAGAACTTCAATACGCTGATGACTGCGCTCTAGTTGCAAAAACGTTACAGCAATTACAAGAAATGTTGAACACATATACCTGGGCATACGAGGCTTTGGGCCTTAAGCTGAACATCGATAAAACTAAAATCATGTGCACTCCCCTGGAAGATTACAACGTTATAAAAATCGGAGAACTATTGGAATATGTAGCGGAATTCAATTATCTCGGCAGTTTGATTTAGGAAAAGGCCAATATCTACTCTGAAATTCAGCACAGTATTAGCAGCGCCTCAAGAGCATTCTGGAAATTAAAAGACAGGGTTTTCTACAATCATGACTGGAGCACAAAAACGAAACTTGCAGTGTACCAAACAATAATAATCCCTACCATGCTATATAGAAGCGAAACTTGGGTGCAGTACCACCGACACATGAACACATTAAACAAGTTGCAACAGAGACATCTTAGACAACTCTTAAGAATAAAATGGTTCCACCATGTCTCAAACGTATCGGTTCTTGAAAAAGCTAGTTGCGAGAGCGTTGAAGTCATGATTACAAAATCCCGCTTAAGATGGACTGATCACGTATGCAGAATGCAAGAAAACCGCCTACCAAAATCTCTGCTTTACGGTGAACTTGTAGACGGTAAGAGGAAACCGGGTGGACAACTCAAAAGGTACAAGGATGTTTTCTACGAAAGGGCATAAACATGCCGAATGAGAGGGAAGAAACAGCGCACAATAGACCTCAATGGAGAAGAATTGTAAACACAGTTAACAGCAACACATCATGCACGTACCGGGTTTTTCCGTCACAGACAAGCTCATGAAAGAAAGCTCCTTGCGTAACCGTAAATCTTCTGACGCATGTCAAATACTCGTCAGCGAGTAATGGCAGTATGTATGTATGTACAGTACGTCTGTCCGTTCTGTAGCTACGGGGTATCCGTGAGAGGGGAAACGATATTCTCTCGATGTTTTTCGTAAAAAAAATAGACGACGCGTCCCATCAATAAAAATTCAACAAATTTGCAAGTAGCCAATAAAATGAGTGGGCGGAGCGATTTGCGGTGAGGCACTCGTCAAATCGACGTATAAAATATATTGCTGTTTATTTAAATGTTTTTTGTCCGCATTCCTTTCATAGACACAGATCCAGCAGATGTACTGTATACAGTGATGCCTTTATCTGATTTCTGACTTACATCAGCTAACATGGACCAATCGCTGCTATTAGGTATGCTATGACTGTAGTATCGTTTGCAAATTGTATTAAATGTGATCCATCATCTAAGCAATTTCTCAAGTCGCGCTTACATATAATAAAAAAAGAATTGGCCCTAAAACAGAACCTTGAGGTACTCCGTTGGTAACTGCAAACTGACTTGATACTTGATTGAATACAACATATTGACGACGATTGTGTTAGTTATGACTGAATCATGGATATGATATGCTACTGTTGCAGAAACCATAGCATTTAAGCTTATTATACCAATCAGGATGTCACATAGACTTAAAATATTATTTTAAGTCTATGGGATGTCATGTGAAACACAATCAAATACTTTCCTTATATCAAAAAAGGTTGCTTAGGCAATACCCTTTTCTCCAAAACATTCTTGTATGCGGCTGGTAAGCCTATTTATAGCCGCGATGGTGGACATGTTTGATCGAAAACCGTATTGGGCTGGTTATATATATGGTTATCCATATTTGGCTGTAACATATGTTCCTGTAAATATGCACATACATATTATATATATTTGATTTGTTAATGCCATCTCCAAATAAATCTGGAGATTGCTCTATAATTTGATACTCCATCGTGGTCACCTTTTTAAACACGGGTACAACCACAAAACACATATAAGGTACAACCCTAACCAACTTAAATCGATCGCGAAACACATCAGCTTGAATTCATAAATTTATCAATTTTGTTAATGCATGTGTTTACGATTAGTTCCCGTATTGTTTTTATTATTCTGGCGTTGAAACCGTAGTTAATACATACTGAGGCTATTTTTTAAATCTCGCAGAATCTGCCTGGTTTCAATGTATGTTAACTGTCTAAATTGAGAGAATGTGCTAATATGATTTATATTTTCATTATTATAGTCAACTGGTCAAGAGAGTAATTTTTAGATGAAGAAAGATTTCTTAATATATCTTCGGCCACAGTACAAAAATAAAAGTTAAATTCTTGGGGACTGATAACATCTAAACGTGATGATTTCATTATAGGATAAACAGCTTTGTATATGTTTCTCGAGCGAGTAATGTAATTATTATCATTAGTTTTTTTCTTGCACATTTCTATCTTTGTTTTATAATTGGAACGAAATGATATGATTGTGTCATGGGAGACCATATTTGAGCCATTTCTAAGCAGGATAGTCAAAAATTTCAGAGTTTCTCGATCTCGTTTCAGCTCTTGATTAAACCAATTACATCTGACACCAGCACTTTTATTATTACTCATCAGATAAACCGAGTTCTTCAACTCCTAAGCTAAATGCATTTTGATAGAAAATTGACATCGATTGGCTTTGTTAATCCATAAGATTCAAATACTCCGCATAAAAGGGCATTAAGTAAACCAGATTTAAAGTGCACATTAAAATTACCCGTCACCACTATAATATTTTTGTAATGTTTAATCTCTCCAACATTGTGGTCAGTGCCATCAAGAATGATTCAAAATCACCCAATGGAGATCTATAAATGGTTACAATCTGAATATCACTATACGAAACACCAATGCATTCGACATCAAGTTCGGTTAATATGATAATGATAATATGATCGTGCAGTGAGAACCAAGCTTTAATTACTTAATTTTGGAGTCAAACCTACCTTTTTTACTGATATTTTTATCAGTGATGTGGAAAAATAAACTCAGTTTTTCACAAACAGCATTAAAATTAGAAAAGGCACCGAATCCACAATACGTGGAATTCTCCAATAGGTCTGAATTCAAAAATGGCGGGAATATCGAACAGGAAATGATCTACGAAAGTTTACGAGTTTCTCCGAAGATCCGCCGAGCATTTAAATATTTGAAATAAAGCCGCTAAAAACATTTTGACCGTATTTTTTTGCCTTTTACACAGATACTTTTGTTATTTGTTAAAAGAAATCAATTATTGAAGCGGCAAATAGAACGTATCATCTCGAAAAGACAAAAACATCATTCGGCCATCAATGCCAAAAGTTGGCACTGGACAATTTCAACTTCACCCGGTCGTCGCTTCAACTGTTTCACAAGTAAACAAAACCAAACAAAACGACCGAAACTCGTCTTTCGAACTACGGCCGAGATGAATTTCAGTCCGAACATGGAAAACGTAAACGAAAAATTCAATCCAATGTTCACGAACAGCGGTTGTTATCCGGAAAACAGCAGCAGCGAAGACAACGACTCGGGATCCGACCATGAAACAACTTTGCGCGAAGTTTCTCCGCCTTACTTATCACGTAACTATCTCTTTGGTGCTACAATATTTCAGGTAACTATTGACAACATTATAAATCACTCTTCAGCTTCATTACGTCTGGGACTAACTCCAATAAGAAAGCGCAGAGGAAATTTACCTAAACATGCGGTGAAAATTTTGAAACGATGGCTGTACGAGCACAGATACAATGCTTATCCTAGCGATGCTGAGAAATTGACTTTGTCTCAGGAAGCCGGCCTTACAGTTTTGCAGGTTTTTATTAGAATTTTTGGAGTAGAATGTGTGGCGTAACATATTTTTTGTAGGTTTGCAATTGGTTTATCAATGCACGCAGAAGAATTTTGCCAGAAATGATACGCAGGGAGGGTCACGATCCGTTAAATTACACCATATCTCGTAGAGGAAAGAAACTTTCAGCTGCCAACTTTATTGGCGGCGACCGAGGACGAGTAGGGTACTGAAAAAAATGTTTTATTTATCCTTAACGTGTCTTTAGAGTGTACGAATCGTTTATAGATGGGCCGAAGAGTTCGAAAATCACCATCACAAACGGATGAGATTAAATCCCGAATTTGAAGACAGCATGACGCTTTTTTACCGTTCCGAACCGGAAGAAATTAATGGCTACGAGAGTTCTAGCCCTAGCGAGGAAGAAAAGTTTAGTGCCACGTGGACCGGCCCTATCGAATATTCTGGAATGCCAACCGAAGGCATATACGCCAATAAAAGATTTACCAACACTGGGTGAGTTCGTTTGTCTTGCTCTATAGTTATTACCCCATAACTTTGCCTCGTTTCTACATTTGGCAGACTTTTTTTATTTTCCTATGTACTTTAGAGTGCAGTATTTGCCTACCTTGATCCACAATCAGCCTGATCCCAGTCCCAAAGTGCAAGTGTTGCCGGCCAACCAAATCGACCCAGATCCTCTGATGACGGAAGAAGAAGAGAAGGAACGTTTTAAATGCCTATATTTATTAGTAGAGACCGCTGTGGCCGTCAGACAAAGAGAAAAAGAACAAGAAACAGCCGAAATAGCATAGGAAACTTCACTTTGTTACTTGTTAAAGTCTTCATTCTACCCAGAGATTAATCTCTGGTTATCCATTTAACACAAACGTCCTATGTTGTTTGCATGTTTGTTTTTATATGTTTAAGGTAAGTTATTACCAAATATTTATGGTAATCCATTACCAAATATTTAAGGTAAGCTATTACCAAGTTACAAAATAAATTAAATAGAATATCACGGCCTTTATTACTGACAAATATTGAAATATTTACAATACCTGTATCACAAACTTATATTGTGCTTATATACAGGGTGTTTTCAAAACAAATGCGAAAAACTTCAGGGGGTGATTCCTTGTTCAAAATAAAGGGTAGTTTGCTTTATAAACGTTGGGTCAAAAGTCAACCATTAGGGAGATATCGCAGTACAAAGATGGCGGAAAAATAATGTTTTTATTTTTTATCTAGAAAACGAAATGAGATAGACTAATGAAATTTTACGGAAGCATTACTGTTATGAAAACACACTTTCTGGTAATTTTTTCACTTTTTTAAAATGAGTGGAAGGGGTTGAAATAAACTACCCCTATCATTCTTTTTAATGAAATTTAAAGAAAAATCTTATCAAACACATGCAAAAAAAATAATTTTGATAGTTTAGTTTATTTAGAAACTTTTTTATCTCTTGTGTTTTTTTGATAAAACTCACCGATTTGAAATTAAAAAATAAAATGTAAAGCATTACATGTCAGGGCAAAAAACATTTTTAGATAAAGAATCTAGTGGGTAGCTGTAATTTTTTTAGGAAAAAATCTAGTCGGCCGCTGTCACTTTTTAAGATGTTTCTAATATTGTTTTATTTGACATTACCCTACTGCAATACGTTATTATCTAGATTATTATTATTATCATTATTATCACTAGATTGTTAATCTAAAAATATTTTTAGTCCTGACATGTAATGCTTTACATTTTATTTTGTAATTTCAAATCGGTGAGTTTTATAAAAAAAAATACAAGAGATAAAAAAGTTTCTAAACAAACTAAGCTATCCAAATTAATTTTTTTGCACGTGTTTGATAAGATTTTTCTTTAAATTTCGTTAACAAGAATGATAGGGGTAGTTTATTTCAACCCCTTCCACTCATTTTAAAAAGTGAAAAATTACCAGAAAGTGTGTTTTCATAACAGTAATGCTTCCATAAAATTTCATTAGTCTATCTCTTTTCGTTTTCAAGATAAAAAATAAGAACATTATTTTTCCGCCATCTTTGTACCGCGATATCTCCCTAATGGTTGACTTTTGACCCAACGTTTATGAAGCAAACTACCCTTTATTTTGAACAAGGAATCACCCCCTGAAGTTTTTCGCATTTGTTTTGAAACACCCTGTATACAAAGAAGTATTAGTTAAGTGTTACATGAACATCTCTATAAAATATATAAACAAAATAATAAAATAACAAAAACACAACTTAACAGTTACAACTTAACCATATAATGTAAAGTTTGAATTAAATATTGTGAGGTATACAGAATAAAATGATATTCTAAAACGAATTAGTATCTTTTTTTACAATTAAAATAGACAAATTGTTAAACACCTAAACCAATTAATTTCCAGTAAATAAGACGAAGCTATGATTTTTCTTTATAGTGTTACCCAAGTGTCTGTATCAAACAGTTTTTTATAATTAAATTTTAAACGTAATAAAAATTTTAATTAAATTATTGAAGTTGTATTTTTTATTTTTTGCAGCAGGTGGCTGAAGAGTTCGCTGAGACTTTTATAAAGAGTAAAAATTTTAGTTACTTAAAATACATTTTTATTTTACGTGTATCCGAAAAAAGCTACAAGCTAGCTTACCCGATACAGAGCCAATGGGCAACACTTTATTTTACTATAATCCGCTACTAAAAAAGATAAATATTGATTTACTTGTATAGACAATTACGTAGGCGTCAACTTAGGCCTGTCAACAAATTCGACGCCATATTGGAATATATAGTAAGTTGTGGAAGCCATCATGCCGCCCCAAAACATTAGGTACAACAGGCACTCACTGGAGTACTCGGCGGGGAATATGACAGAAGCGACAAACATTGCTGTGGCCACTAGCAAAACAGAAGGGAAGGTAATGTATCTCCAACCAGGGGGTGGGGCCAAAGGAGATACCACCTTTCCATTACCCAGAAACAAATCTATAGAGTCTTGTCTGGAGCCGTCGTTAAAGTTGTTCTTGTAATACCGGATCAGCGAGTTGATACCATCTTGGATCATGCCCGATTTCGTCCTTTTACCTATAGAAATATATAGAGTAGTGACTAGGGATATATCGATAACAATCGATAGTTATCGATATATCGATAAGCGTCATGTATATTTTGATTCACCTTTATTAAAATCTGAATATTAATTGAACATCTCAAAATTGTTTTACAAAATATTTTTATTCAAAGAAAATAAGGTATATTATATTATCAGTTTTCCTTAAAATTTAATGAGACCAGTTTTTATATTAGATACTTACGATTCAGGATAGATTTTTTCCGATATATTGATAACTATCAATAGTGTTGACTAGATAGTTATTTGGACTAAAAATGTAAATTTTTCGCTCACTATTGTGATACAGGTACGAAAAAAAGGTTATTACTCTTCAAAACAGGTAAGAAATATGTAGGTGGCGCCGGCTACAAGTAGGAGTCATACTGATATCAAAATCGGATTTCTCATGTCAAAAAACACCCCGCTCAGACACTAATTTTCATCCAAATATCGGCGTTAGCTCACAAATTATTTGGAAAAAAATCAAAATAAAAGTGAAACTACACCCCGTTATCTCCGAAACGAGGCATTTTAGGACATAAATTTATAAGAGCTTTCTTTATTTTTATCTGCAGAATATACTGCCGAAGTTTCCCGAATACAATTTTCCCGTATTTTCCTGTATTAAGATTAATAATAATATATTAAGATTAATTCTGTTGTCAATTTTTATCCTAGTATCCAAAGTATGAATTATTATATTTTCTTATAGTGGAGTGCTTTAAGCCCTTATGGGATACAAACCTCGGAATTCATTTACTGTGAACGAATTTTTATAAAACTTTTTGCATTGAATTGTTAATAAGATATATTACAAAGTTTACCAATTTAAAGTCGTTGCTTTCACTTTAGTATTAAAATAAACACACATATACAAGTGCATACATACAAGATGGCTCCGTATTCCGGAAAAGCTCTGTATCAGGATTCCTATTTGAGATTTTCATTCCAAACCTTTTACAAAATATATGTATATGAATGGTAGTTCACATTTCAAAAATATTTTTATAGATATACACAGTGAGTCAAATATATATCATTTATTTATTCGAGTTCAGTGAATTTGCTATAAAATTCCGGCTCCAAAAATACCTTAATACCATAGAGTAATAAATGGTCTTTGAATTATGACCACGTCTATGATAACGTCAATCTAGACGTCCAGGAACCTTCGTATGAGAACTTCTAATCGAGACGATCGACTTATTGTAAGTTTATCGCTAAGAAACCGCCGTTTGCCAGCTTTTCAAATTGATAATGAATTGCACTTAAGGACCGTACATATTAACTAACGGACTACAAGAAGAAGATTAAATGAAGCAAATCTCATGTCAAGAAGGCCTGCTTCGGGACCAGAACTTACTAGATGTGTTGACTAGGCCCAAAAGCAAAGGCATGGTCTTAATGTAAAAATTACGAAAAAATGTTAATGTCTTCTTTAAAGCCGAATATTTCCAACAAAAATAAAGCTAATGAGATGAACCAAAAAACAAATTATCGAGAAAGGATGTATCTAGATGATAAAATGATTTTTAAATTTCTTGCTGTTTTAACATATTTCACAGGGTGTTTCAAACTTTCACCAAAATATCAATATTTTGTTTTCCCTCGTATAATTAACAGAAGGGGAGTTTCATTTTTAATTTAGAAAAAGATACTAAAAAGTCAAATAATTTAGCTTTTTCAAAAACTATACGTTTTAGTCGTATACTTTTCTAATGAAACAAACCTTTCTTTTTTTTACTAGAATCCAAAAATCAATTAATATATAGGGTGTTCCATTACAAAAACATTACTTTGATGTGTAACTTTTTTTGGGGAGACCCTGTAGAACTCTACATAATTTTAGAAAATGCTTTAAATTGACTGACATAAAGCTCACAAAATTTCATTTCAATACAAACTTTCGTTCCTGCAAAAACCGCGTTGTATATGACGGGCCACCCTGTATAATTCGATTTCAATCAAAATTTCAATGATGAGAATATAAGCAGAATAGGTATAGCTTAAGCATTAGATTTATTTATTTCAATAAATGTACCCAGAAAAAAATATAAAAAAATCAAAATATTAAGGAAATAATTAAGAATTTACTAAAATTACTAAAATAAAAAATTAAAAGCAACGAAGAAAAATGGGTAAACATTTTAGTATTTTACCTATAAAACACAATACAGAAGGTTTGACATTAATACATTCACAGTAATTGTATTCCGAGGTAAAAGTCTCTCTCGAAGTTATCTGTCACTATTACGCAAAACGGCGTAAAATAAATGGCAATCTGCTGTCACCACTGGCAATTTTATCAGTTTTTTTTTGGCTCTCCATTAGGATATCCTGCATTATAGCTTGGTACTCTTATTCAGTAAGCGTTACTTCATTGATTCTTTTGTGCTAATGTAGCAATTGATGGTAAAACACTAAGTACAGTGAAAGCACAACTGAAACAAAAAAAAAATGATTATTAAATATTTGTATGCCCTTTTTTGAATTTAAAAAAGGCTAACAAAAACAAGTCGGCTTGTTTTTCGTAAGTACAGTTCAAAAGTCTCAGAATGATGAAATACAGCCATTCCGAGGCATTGAAAAGACTGCTCGCAGTTTTTTTAATTTCGTGCTTATGGCATGTACATAAATGCAAAATTATATTGACGTGTGGCTCTCATTTTTGTTTGTTAGTACAGTTGAGCAGTTCAGCCTGTAAGTCACGTTCAATCATCCTCTGTTAAATATTAAGATCATACATGGCAATTTTCATAATTCCATTTACAATCTCTGAGACATTTCTGAATCCAAACTTGTCGAAGTTATCTGTCATTGCGGTAACCGATAAAAACTAATTTCATCCTTTGATTTTTTGGCTTCTGCTCTGCAATTTGCGCGGGCTACAACTGTACATAGCAATCATAGCATAGACCTGTTCGGTGTTAAAATTTAAATACCGGTTTAGGTGTTGATGATAACCGGTGTTTCAGTCGCTGTATGGGTGTCAATACCGACATTGGCGTTCATCTCGACACCGGTGTTTATCCGACATCTTGATTGTTACAGGTGAATACTTTTTGTTTTTTATCAAACAGTTTTTTACTTTATAGTTGTTTATCTGACAAAAAAGTATATCTAAATTTGAAACCGTTAAGTTAAAGTGGGTGCGCTTCAATAAAGATTAAACCAATACACAACACAAACGACAGCAACAACCATAAAATAATAAACAGCTCTAGCCCGTTTACGAGACGAGGTCGCCAGCATACGTCACTATATCCCTCTCGTCCGAGAGCTGCTACGTCATTACTCTTACTAAATGATAATATAGCGAATACTATTGGTAAATCAGCCAACACCGGTACACCGAATAAAAAACCGGTTATCAACCAGTGATTAAATTTCAACACCGAAAGGGTCTATGTACAGTGACAGCCTGCACAAATTGCAGAGCAAAAGCCAAAAAATCAGGGGATGAAATAAGTTTTTATCTGTTACCCAATGACAAATAACTACGACAAGAATGGATCCAAAAATATCGCAGAGGTAAGAAATGGAATCATGAAAATTGCCGTGTATGCTCTAAACATTTATAACAGAGGATGACTGTACCTGACTTGCAAAAGGAATGAGAGCCACACGTGAATCTAATTTTGCATTTATGTACATGCCATAAGCTCGAAATTAAATAACATGTAAGCAGTCTTTTCAATGTCGCGGAATGGTTGTGTTTCGCCATTCTGAGATTTTTGAACTGTACTTATGAAATGAATAATAAGCCGACTTATTTTTGTTAGGCGGGTATCAGGCCGCTATTACACTATAAAATTTCTTTGTCAAAGGTTATGTTTAAAATATATTTTAAGAAAAATTTGACAGTGTTAATATATAATATTTAATAAAATCACACATGTTACACTGTCAAATTCTTCATAAAATATATTATAAATAAAATCTTTGACAAAGAAATTTGACAGTGTAATAGCGGCCACATACAAATTATTTAATAATCATTTTTATTTGTTTCAGTTGTGCTTTCAGTTGCTACATTAGCACAAAAGGACCAATAAAGTAAGCGCTTACTGAATAGGAGTAACAAGTTATAGTGCAGGATACCCTAATGGAAAACCAAAAAAGTGATTAAATTGCCAGTGCTGACATTTCACCTTACTTCTCTTTTACATCTGGATGAGACACAGCAAAACCAAGAAGAAAATCTGTGTTATGGGCAAGGGTTATGGGGTTTTAAATAAAAAAATAAAAAATTTACGCGACAATTCTTGTCAAAATTTGTGCTATTTATTTGCATTGTCATTTCTAAATAAATAAATCCCCGGATTTTTTTCGCTAAAACAAATAATTTTACACCAATAAACAAAAACGTTTTTTTTTAACTTTTTTTTCTTTCTTTGTCACTTTGTAACTCAGAAAGGATTCTTTTTGGACATTATATTTGTTTATTTTGGATTCCAGCATTCCTTAAAATAAAACCCTTTCCTCCCTAAAAACCCTGTATGAGATGAACAATGCAATTAAACATAAATTTCCATTTATTTTACACCGTTTTGCGTCAGAAAATATAATTAATACTTTGGATACATACATAGATACTGTATTGTATATTGTATGATCGAATAAAAACGGCGTCCAGTTGGCTTGGAAATGACGGTCGATGACATTTCCCATATAATTTTACATATAAAATGACAGCAATCTTCATTTCATAGCCATCGCTGACGGCGTTTTTTTTTCGATAATACAGTATTTATTAACTATAAAATATCGACTCCAAACTGTACTCTGTGAAGCCGAGCCGATGAAATGGGTATATAAATCTTCTGAAGGAATTTGCATAAGTCGCTGAGTAGGCGAGCTCAAATGTAGTGCGGAAGCCTGGATTTTGAATTGTTGATCGGATAACTAGACCAATAAGAGACTAAGAGAGTAGACACTAGCATCAGCTGTTCATTCGTACGGCTTTCGTTTG